CTCTCTAGGACGTCTGTAGGCTCCTTTTATAAACCCTAGGCGGCGCTCCCAAAGTCCTACTCCCGTTCCAACTCTGAAAATACGAATCTGGGCTTTTTCTGGGTTTTGACTCGGACCGAGTCAGTACTCTGACTCGACCGAGTCAAGACGAGACATAAGGAATTCGGCCCAGCCCAATCTTCTGACTCGGGCATGTTGACTCGGGGTATCTGACTCGGGCATGTTGACTCGGGGTATCTGACTCGGACCGAGTCAAGGCGGGAAATTCTTGACTCTTTCATCGTTTTAGCTCCAGATTGCTCCCGTCTTGCTCCAAATCGCATCCGAGACCTGTAATCCTATAAAAACACAACCAAACCGAGTTTCGTGGCCTAACACGCCTATAATGCCTACAAATGCATGTGATCTCCGTATAAATCCTATAAAAACGTCCTGGAGATGTAGAGAGAAATATGAGTTATCAATATTCAATGGTTTGTCGTTTGGGTTTGAAAGAGGACATTTCAATAAGAATTTAGAAACAAACGGTACTCAATTTGGTTGAGAAACAAGGGAGATATGAGTGAATAAATACTGATAAGAAAACTGGAAATTGCAGAGATGCGAATTCACGAGGTACATGGATTACGAATCATTTTTCAGCGTGTATACATAATGGTTAAATAATCTATTGCTTGAATATTAAAGAGGACATCCCAATGAACATTTAGAAACAAACAGTGCGCGATTTGGATAAGAAATGAGAGAGTTATGAGCAATCGAAGTCGGACCAGAAACCTGAAATCGCGAACGGACGAAGTGCCCAGTTCCGGTTCGCCGGACCAGGAACTGGTCAGCTCCGGACCAAGTCCGGAAAATTGTTTTAGTCCGCCAGACCGAGGGGAAGAAGCTGAGGAAGCTTGGTCCGATCCAGACCAGAACCTGGTCCGGCGGACTAAGCCTGTTTTTGACCAAAAATGGTCCGGTTGACCAACGAAGAGGGAGCCGGACCAAGAGAGAAAGAGAAGGCTGGTCCGAGGCTGACCAAATCTGGTCCGCTGGACCAGACCTGTCTCATAACAAACCGACAGACCAAGGAAGCTGAGCGGACCAGAGGAGAAGGGGCTCTGGTCCGGGTCTGACCAGGCTTTGGTCCGCCGGACCAGGCTCGGAGAAAAGAGGAAAATTTTCATTTCGACCGGGCCCGACCAGACTTGACCATGGGCGAACCAAGCTCCCGCCAAAGAAGAAAACTTTGCGATTGAGATCAATCGAACCGATCCTTCGCCAAGACGTTGCGCACCAGACGACGACGACCCGAGAGAGGCAGCATCATGTACGGGATTTGTATTCTGAAGTATGGGACTTGTATTCCCGCATTTTGTACGGTTATATTATGACTATTCGGACATGTGTCAATTTGCGATACTGATCGCGGTTTATTTTCCGCTGCTTACTCTGATTTGATTTAAAATGTTTTGGATTTCGAGATTTTGCTTCTGCGATTTATTATTTTATCTTATATCGTTCATGTGGCACAGCCCGTATACTGTACACGGGTTACGGGTGTCACAATCGTTCAGTCCAGACCTGTCAGTCCAACCGACCCACGAAACCCTAGACCGATCGGTCCAGGCGAAAACGTGATCAGATCTCGTTTTCGTCGTTTCTGTCCCGTTTCAGACCCGAATTCGACCCCGTTTTCGCCTGCTAACTCAGAATTCGAAGCTCTTGCAACTATGCAACAATGAACAGAAAATCTACTCTAGATCCACAATCAAATCATGCATAGCATCAAAGCAAACACGGATTCAAACGATTCAAATCCTATAAGTGCGTGATCGGGTTCCAACGGTTGGAACTTGTCTGTTAGGACTGAAGAACACGTTTTTCTTTGCGCAAGGGTTTCAGGGATCTAACTCTTAGGTTTTCAACTCATAAAACTTCCCAAAGGGTCTGAAAGTCGTGCCAAGCAGCTTGGGAAACGTTCCCAAAAGTTAATCCCACTTAAAACCCTAATTAGAGCGAGTTTAGGAAATCCTGACGTCTGGACCGATCGGTCCATGGTTCTGGACCGATCATTCTGGAACATTTTCCGGACCGAGCAACATTTGCACGTTACCTCTGGACCGACCGGTCCACGTGTCTGGACCAATCGGTCCTAACCTTCTGGACTGGTCGGTCTGGCCTCCGCTCCACCCGGATTTTCTCGTCTCTTCTCGCGCATTCGTCCTTTCCTGTGTGTGTGACCCTGTAGGCTCATCTGATATAGCAGTGTAACCCGAAATCTCTTATTTCGGTTACACAAGTCATAGGCGGTCTCTAGCAAGACACTATGACTACCTATCTCGAATAGAGTTTGTTCGTGATCCTACCAATGCCAGTGATGATTCCGGTTGATGATCCTTTTGTATCGCGATAACATACGTCGAACATAAGGGATGGACAAGCCACCTCATCTGATTCGACTGCTTTCTCGTTCACTGAGTTCGACTGTCTAAAATAGACAACGTTCGTCTATAGTGCAGCCACACATTTCTACAGTCTCGCTGACATGAGGGGCCCAGCGATATCTCTCTCTTTTACGAGAGGTACAAATCCCGTCTTGACTATCTACAATCCAACACATGATTTGTTTCGTACCTGATACACGCCTTTATAGTCCTCCTGTTACGCAGGACATTTGACGTATTCAAAGTACGCAACTCCTCACGTTGGATTCCGTAGATATCTCAGGTCGTAGGATCCAATCATGAAACCGTCATATGAGATTCAAGTCATGACGTAAGTCCATGTGACAATCTCATGCGGGTCAATCCAGTATTTCGTTCTCCAACGAATACCGATGATCGTGATCGTATCTAATACCTATGATCATCTATATGATCATCAATCACACATCACACTAGTCTTAGTATATCATTATTCCCACAATGATACATAACTAGTGAGTTTAGTAGTCTTCATAACAATACATGGATTTCATAACATATCAAATATGCACAATACATAAACTAATAGAAAGTGTCAATACATCAAATGTATCTAAATAAAGTTCGCATAACAGTACATCATAGAGCACTAAACCAACAATTCCTGGTGGGACAACAACGTTAGCAACGTTTGGCACTTGATTATTCATATATGTGCCAACAGCATCATGATTAACGAGGTTAGTAACCTCCGCTATATGTGGATTCTCATCGATATTCATAGCAGGAATCTCATTCCCTGGAGCAGTATTTGAATCCATGGGATTTCTTGGATTATCAATGATCCGAGAAGTTTGCCTCGTGTTAACCATGAATCGAACTTAAGATTCTTGGGGACGACAGTTTTTGACGATGGCAAAACTTCGGCAATTCGAACGATTCCAGATAAGTACCTGAAAGTCTGATCTCGAGGTGGCTGGAAACTTCGATATCGAGGTTGAAGAACGTCGATATCGATGTTATAAACGTCGATATCGATCTTCTAAACCTCGATATTCTCCCTTTTTCGCTCCGAAGTCCGTTTCTCGCCTGCGACAAGTCTGTGAACTTCCTTAGCTTGTCCGTGATTGTCTACTTGGTCAAATTAAGCTCCAAAAACACCGTTTTAGCTCCGTTTTCGTTCGATTACACGAATATTTCTGAAATCACATCAAAGAGCAAAGAAAATGGTATTTGTGCATAAAATGTGGCCTAAATGCTAGATTTGTATGGAAAAGAGGGGTGAAATGCAACTAAAACCATAGAAAAATAACGTCAAAAATCGATGTCATCAGTGAACTCGCAGGATACAACGACCGCGTATTTGGAAGAAGCTTTCCAAATACCTAGCGAACTCTGAGAGAGATATGAGCAAATATATGAATGCTCTTTTTTTTTTTCCCTATAATGCTTGTTTTTTCTTCTGTGTTGAATGAACTAATCCAAGACCCCTATTTATAGTAGAGGGGAGAATCTCAAAATAAAATCAATTTGATTTTCAAAATTCAAATTAGATTTTATTTTGATATTATCTCAATCACATCTCAATCATATTTGATAGATTTTCTGCAGATTTGAATCCAATTTGAATTTCAAAATCAATCAAGAATATTCTCTCAATATTCTGTATATTTTTATTAAAATTTCTAAAACTTTCCATGAACCATACTTCTCACGGGCTATGCCCGTTTGATTCTATCAAATAAACTCAAATCCAACAGAATTTAGATCTTCAGATGCATGGAAGGAAGTGAACAACCTATGACGTCAAGTAAAGATTATTTGGTGTAAGTCCCACACACCGAAACATGCTTTCTTCACATGGTTAGTTACCCTTTATTGATGTCCCACCAACACTAACTTGTGAGAACAATTTGTCCGATTCTTCTGCTGTTAAATTAAACCAAACAATTCCACCAAGAATAACATACAAATCCAAACTTATGTGACTCAACTAACATGGGATGAAACAAAATTCATTTTCAATACAAATTGGAGTCTCCATTTAGGAGAGTGAGCTTTCCAAATCTTTTGAAAAAGTTGTAGTTGGATCAAAGACAGAGATTAGCTTATGAATTATCAAAAAAAAATAAAAATAAAAAATACATAGAAAAGATAGACGAGAAAAGACTAAAATGCCCCTCCTTTGTCAGTTTGGCCTCCTCCAAACCAGGAGACACACTAACAGAACTTCACCAAGACATATTTCGTGACTTTTTTCAACTTTGCTACTAACCCTGTAAGACAAATAGTTTCTTTCGAAGCCATTGTGAATGAATAAGGCTACAACATGTGGTAAACTCGGCTTCCAACTAACCACAATGAAGGAAAAACTATACATAATCGGAATCCCGTTATCCTTTTAAGGCTGAAATTGTCAATCCCTTTGGCAGTCCCTAAGTGGTTTCAAAACTGAAAAGAGCGAAGCACGAAGAAGGAAAGAATAAGTTTCTGAAGGGTTCTGTTCTGGAAGCAAATGACACTAATGCCATGGATTTGTTGCTCTTAGATATGAGACAAGGGGATTATTTGTATGGTAACTGGGTATAATAAACCGTTTGAAGAATGATATAACTTATCAATGGTTACTTCCAGATTTAGTTTCTGAATCAAAGTTTTACAAGTATCACGGTAAACAAAAGATGAAGAAGAAAAAGCTAACTTGGGGTTTACTTCTTCAGACCTTCTTTCTGCTGCATTTGCTTTCTCAAATTTCCAAGGGGACCGTAGCCTTTTTCCTTCTCTTCTTTGCTGCAATTGCATTTCCTCTTGTTCAGATTCGTACCACATTTCAGGCATATCCCTTTGCATCCGGGATCGCATATAGCATTGATGGTGATTTCTAGATGTACCAAGTCCCTCACGTGCTTTGAGATATCAATTTCATTCACCTCAGCTGGAAAATGGAGCCGATCGTCCCAATCTATACATGAATCATCCTTGTCTCCATCTTCTTCGTTATATAACCCGGAAAAGGACTGGCCTTTATCATTGCCGAAGGCGAATCCCAGATTGATGATCTCAGGTTCTTCAACGGGTTCTTCCATAAGTAACAGTGAAAGGTTGGAGAAAACGGTCTCAGCAGCTGGCTCACCACACCTTCAACACCGTGCAAATGGGTAACAAGTATTTAATTGACAAGTTCATCACATAGGCCACAAAACTACTCATGTCTTGATTACAGACAGACCTAATAGAACAGCTGACAGTCTTCTTCAATAGAAATCATTTAAACCCTAGTAGCAAACAGTATAAAGAAAACTTCAAAAGACAACATAAGGAATCGAGTTTACAAGAAAGTACCGGTTGCAGCCCAGTGTAATGACAGTTCTTACAATTCCATCAAGCCTCAGCTTCTTTTTCTTCCTTATGACATCGATCGAAACTTGAACTGGTGTGCCATCAGGAAAATCCTTAACGACTTTCGTGACACGTACACCCATTGAAGAAGCCCTCGACCTTGAGATCTCAGTCGATAGCCTTCCCAATCCCAGCCTCTCTAATGTGGTGCAATATTCCACGTGTGTGACTGAAGCGTTTCTCTTGTACACAACCGCCCCTTCCCACGGTGACCCTGTATCTGTGAGATCCTCTTGATCTTCCCAATCGAAAGATAACGAGCTAGTCTCTGTAAAGGATTGCTGACTTGCTAAGATACGACTCTTCCCTGACATAGGAAGCTTATGCAGTTCCACAAACAAGAACTGGGCATTTGTCCTAAATCTAGCTGTGAAATCGAGATGACCAAAAGAAGAGCATGAATTCAGGGTACATGACCGTTTCATAAGCGGCCAGGGAGCTACAAAAGATGAAGAGCAGACCAGAGGCATTTTCCAGCACAGCTTCTACCAGGAGAGAAATTCTATGACACGAGAACTGGATCCTAGATAACAAGAACTGGGTTTTGACCAAATCCAATGAAATAACTACACAAGAACCAATCACGGGCCTTCACCACCTGCAATAATCATTTGTGGGCACTGTAAGACAGAAATGAAAACAGTGTGAAAAGCCATAGATGAACTGATATCTCAAGAAATTAAGCTGAAACAAGAAAGAATCGTCAAAAGGGTTTTAAGGGTATTGCGTTTAAGTGCGAATTGGAGCCGATACAACGAAAACAACGCAAATAAGAGCGAGCTACGCATTTTGTCGAACAACTGATGTTCAACAAAGTGAAAAGCGGATTTCAGTTCGACAACAGACTTTTTTTTTTATGAACGTAAATCATATATATACCGTTTCGAAAACAGACTTTAAACCATGGGAATCAAGGAGATTGGAAGAGAGAGGACATAAGAGTGGATTTCTTACAGATTGTGAGACAATCTCTGGACTTACTTCAGTTGTGTCCGTGAGACAGAGGCCGCTAATACGGCTGCTCCATTTATCCGCCAACCGAACAAAACAAAACCGATTTTACGAATCTAACCCAAATATAAAAAGTATACACAAATATATTATATATTTTATACCACCAAAATTTAGACGTAGAGATTTCGGTATTCGATAGTTTAGTTTAATTCTTTCACTTTTTCAAAAATATATATCAATAAATTATTATATTATATTCAATTCGGTTCACCTTCAAGTTTCGTTTTATTTTTTTAATTAAAAAATTTTAGATTTTTTTAAGAAAATTTCGATTTTTTGATTTTTTAAATTTATTTTGCTTCGGTTTGATTTTCTAAAAAAATTTCGTAAATTTTTTACGGTTCGGATAAAAAATTACTGCAGTTTTCAATTCGATACGGTTCAGTCCAGAAAAAACGTACTGAAATGTCTATTCCCAAAATCAGCCGAACATAATACACTGAACTAAAAGTTTCAGTAAGAAAAAAAAACAAATCAAGAGAGAGTGAGGGAGAGAGAGTGAGATTCTGCCCTACCACCATCGTCGCGTTGCCTTCGGTCTTCGGCAGTATGACCAACCCTAACCCCCTGCTCCTCCTGGCCCTTAACCTCCTCTCTCTATTCGTCCCCTTCCGAAGCCCCAAAACCTCAAACCTAATGTGACAACTCGTATCGTATCCGAAAAATCCGAGTAAGTGACTTCGGGATAAAAAGTTCGGACTTGTGCGAAAAGTATTACGGACTGACCCGGACCACCAAGAGGAACGGACAGACTAGGCGAAGGGACAAGCGCTGGATCGAACCGGAATGCGTCTAGGACCGAGCTGGACTAAACGGAACACGTTGGTCCGATCCGGACTGAAGCGGTCCGAACTGGACCAAAAAGGAGAAAAAGTCGCACAAAACGGCTCCGACTCATACCAAAGGAACATATCGAGTTAGAAACTATCCGGCAAATACTTAAACGATCAAAAATTGATCTAAGGATCCGAATTTCGAAGAATATAGGAAGTTTAGAATTTTAGGATTTCGAATTTAACGTTTCCATTCTTACAATCCAAGAAGATGCGGATTCGTATTTTAAAATACAAACAGGTTCTTGCACTACAAAAAAACAGTCTTTTAGCAACGAAAATTTTTCGTTGCAAACCTACAAATTTCGTTGCAAAACAGGGTTTGCAACGAAATTGCAACGAAAAAATTTTCGTTGCTAACTCGTCGTTGCAAACCAATATAGCGTTTCAATTCGTTGCAAATTGCAACGCTTTGCAACGAAATATTTTCGTTGCTATTTGCAACGCAATTATTTCGTTGCAAAAGTGTTGCAAAGCGTTGCAACGCTTTTGCAACGAAAAAAATGCGTTGCTAATTTTGCAACGAAATTGCGTTGCAAAATTAGCAACGCAATTTCGTTGGTAAAATTAATATAAAAATAAAAAAAATAATTTAGAATTTCAAGTTTTTTTAGAAGAATTAAATTAAAATTTAAAAATAATTAATTAAAAAAATATTAATAAAATATAAATATTAAATAAAAATAATATAGAATTAAATAAAGATAATAAATATATATATATATATATATATATATTTGTAGAATTATAAAGTTTATTTAAAAGTTATAAATTAAGGTTTATAAATAAATAATTAATAAAAACAATAAAATAAATATTTAATAAAAATAATAAAATATATTTTTATTTGATTTTTTTTAAGAGTTGGGGATAGAGAGAAGTTTTAGATAATTTTTAAAGTGAAAAATTGTTGATAGATTATGTTTGGATTGTGTTTGGATGTTGAATATATAGAAAACCATTGCAACGCAATTTCGTTGCAAATCCAATTAGCAACGAAATTTCGTTGTAAAAGGCGTGAAAACCATAATCAATCGTAGCCACAAATTTATTTTAAATTTGTAACGCAATTTCGTTGCTAATTGGATTTGCAACACAATTTCGTTATTAATTGGATTTGCAACGCAATTTCGTTACAAATTAGCAACGAAATTGCGTTGCAAAACCAATTAGCAACGAAATTGCGTTGCAAAACCAATTAGCAACGAAATTGCGTTGCAAATTTATATATTTACTTGTTTGACGGTCAAATCATATTAATTATTAAATAGTAATTTTTGCAACGAAATTATTTCGTTGCAAAGCGTTGCAAAATGAAATTCGTTACTAATCGTTGTTGATTTCAAAGAAATAATTTTGCAACGATTTTGCAATGCTTTGCAACGCAAATATTGCGTTGCAAATTAGCAACGAAATTATTGCGTTGCAAAGCGTTGCTAATTGCAATAAAAAAATTTTGCAACGATTTTGCAACGTTTTGCAACGCAATAATTGCGTTGCAAATTTGCAACAAAATTTTTCGTTGCTAAAGCGTTGCAAAATCGTTTTCATTAAAAAACATTGCAATTTCGTTGCAAAGTATGCATTTCGTTGCTAATTTCGTTACTAATGACATGTTTTTTTGTAGTGTTGGTTTATTGTTAGAAATTACACTAAATAAAAATAAACACTCATACACATATACATACATATATGCATGGTCAAGAGAGATTAAATCTCTCTCATAATATACATTTTAATCCCAAAAATAAATCTAAAACAAAACCTACATACCTATCCAACCATTAGCTAAAAGTAATTAACAAAAAAATAAAAGAAAAATAAAATAAGAGAACTCATGCATGCAAATGATTAGGGACTTAGTTAGCTGCAGCACATAACCTCTTCAACCCCACATTTCTTACTCTTTTCCCTCTTATTTTCGGCCAACACATCAGCAAGAGACAAGAGCACTCTTATTCATTCTCCACTCTAATGTTCTTGTTCAACACTTCACCATTTTTCCCACATTTCTCTCCACTCTCTCATTCGACACTCTCTCTTCACTCAGCTCCGCCACATCCTCTCTTGTCCGATGCCGGAAAATGGCTTGCCACCGGCCGGAGTTGACGCTAAAACTTCAATCTTCGGTTTCTCTTCGATTTTTCCAGCCCTAGGTAAGATTACATGTCATTTCTCCACTCTAAACTCCTATTTTGAACTCATCACTCAAGTTCATCCTTTCACATCTTCAACCATTCTTTCCTAGCCTTCTAGCAATCGATTAAAGTCATTCTCAAAGGGGAATAAGGATGTAATTTCTCTAGAACACAAAGACAAGGAAACATCTCAACTCTTGAATCTATTTCTTCAAACATCAACTCAAAACATACATGCATGTTCTCTTCTACCTTAAGAACCGATGTATACTTATTATAGTTTGTTTGACGGCTTCTCCGTAGCTTGATATATATATCTCGAAACCTAAACTAGATGAAGAACACCCAAAAGAACCTAAAACTCTTCCTAGATTTCGATCTAAACCTCTCTCTCTTGAAATTTTCGGACCTTATAAGTAACTTACATGCATATTTAGATTTGAATCATTTCTTGAAAGATTTCAACATATCTAAAATGAAACTTAAAAGAAAAAACAAAAATCAAAACGCAATCCTAAACCCTAGCACATTTCATTTTCGGACCTTTTTAGAAAAATGAGCATGAACATATAGTTTTGTCAATCTCATAATCCTAGAACAAAATCCAATCTAAACCTTGAGAAAGGAACAAAGAAATCGATAAACCAACCAAACCCTAGCACCCCTAACTTTTGACCTACCAAGAACACCAACAAGCACCACCCAACTACCTAAAACATGGATAGAACTCAAACACTTAAATCCTATCTAAGAAAACATAGGACTAAGAAGATATATGGATTAACATGAAAGTGCAAAATTCACCCTAGAGGCCGAGATGCTCTCCGACCTAAACCAAAGACCACCTACACGAGCTATAACCATTAAAATGTGTGAATGTAGACAAGACTTAGCTCGATGGCCGACGACTGATCACCACCGAGAGCTTGATCCGAGTGACACTAAGGTGAGTGGTTCGGTTTTAATTCGTCATCTTGCCTTTGGGTGATATGAGTACTATATCATAGTAAAATTGTATGTGGCATGTTATTGGTTGAAATTGTGTGATGATTGATATATGTATATTTCGGTGTATTATGTATCACATTAGAATTGGAAGATGAAATTCAATCATGTGAGGAATTCAGACTTAGGAAAATATGGTGCATGTGTAAATAATAAAGGAGACTTAACCACGGAAATGGATTTTAAGATATTGAGAAACGATACAAGTATTTGGGTGAGGTGTGTGAAATGAGAGAAACTTCGGTAGAAAAGAAAGAAGAACTTTCAAGGAGGAAAGTATTGCCAAGAAAAAGGAAAGAAGAGGAGGATCTTCGCACGCGAAGAATGATCGGGTGAGATGTGTGTAATGAGTGGATTAAACATATAAAAATAAATAAATTGATAGGTAAAGGAGAAAAGTATTGCCAAGAAAAATGAAGAAGAGACGATGCCTTGTGAACGAAGAAACGTGTTCAGAGGCTATGGAAGGAGGGAGGAGATGAGAAATCCATAGAGGGTCAGGAGAAATGGATCTTAAAGATATCGTGTTTGTTTGATGTGTTGAATCCGAAGAGGGTCGGGAGAATGTAATGTGATGTGTTGTGTGGAGTAAAGCGAGATGATGATCCCTTGATATTGTGATTTATTGAGGAACACGAAAGCGGGATGATCCCATGACGAGATGATTTCCTGATGAGCAAGAAAAGGGATGATGATCCCATGATGAGACGAGAAGGCGAGAATGGTGTTGCTTGAAGAGCAAGGTGATGGATATGGTGCTCTGGCCACGATCGGTTTGCGAAACTGATTAGAAATCCATTAGATGGGTTTACGTGGCTCAATGAACCCAATGTTTATTAATAAGGCTAATGGGCTTAATATCACTTAATTGTTAAGAGAAAGCTCTTAGACCCATTTGGTTTAATGAAACCCTAACCCTTTACAATTATGTTTAAGAAATATAATTTAGGATTAAGTAAAAAATCAGATTTTTCTCTCCCTCTCTCTCTCTTTCCATCGTCCTCTCTCTCCCAGAGCACCTCGGTTTCCGTTCCTAACCTCTATATCGCGTTCTAGCAGACGCAAACC